GAAGCACATCTACACGAGAACGGTCATTTAGTAGAGCAGGGGGAAAGCGAAACGGACAGACAGACCTGAACAGCAGAGGGAAAGAAAAGAATTAAAAACTACCAAAGGTGCTTTCCAACCACCTTCGTAAACATAATTATGAGATGAATAATTAAGAAAGAAAACAACGCAAGAGATTTGATTGTGCTTCTGGATGACAATTCAACAGTTCAAAGTAAAAGATTATTGTATGTATTCCCAACATTCAATAGATCATGTTTTGTTGCAAATTGAAGTAAAGCGCATTTACAGCACTAAAATCTGTTCAAACATTCCAATCTCGACAATGGTTCATTTTCGTTGAATGATAAATGATATAGAGACAGCGCTGGAAAAAAAAACTCAGAAAAAATAAAACGGCGTGGACACTTTCACTTATGGCCCCCTCACTTACACTGAATTTGTTGTTTGTTGTTGTTGTTGCTGTTTTATTTGGGGTGGGGGGGGTTGTTATTTTTTGTTGTTGTTTTGTTTTTGTTTTTGTTTTGTTTTTTGCTTTTTGTTTTGTTTTTGTTTTGTTTTGGGGGGTTTTTTGGGGGGGGGCTACAGCAAAACCAAGAACGAAAACAAGTCGATTTATCTCAGATTCATGTTCTGTGAGTCGAATGAATGCAACTTGAGTATTGCGATCCCAGGATATAAAGGTTCTATTGCAGTTACACTTACTTTTGGGTTTGAGATATTCAGGTTCAAAGTCTTCACGCCATACGACGTAGATCTACATCTCCCTAAATCGATAAGCAAAACTGTCCTGGTTGTACAGAAGAATTAGAGCCATGTTGTTAGCGTGACGTACGTGTAACGTCATATAGGCAACCAGGAGCGGCACATTTTGAAAACTTCCGTGGCGTACATGGAACGTCACAGCGCTAAATATCCCGCATTTCCATGACGTACTAAGTACGTCATAAGGCAACGAAAGGGTTTTTAAATGAAGGAATGGAGGTTTTAACTCGTACATCATATTTTTCTTGGAACCAAACGTTCATCGAGCTTCGTCATTTTTTTAATAGCTTAATTTTCGCATACGCCCAGAAAACAAAATTAAATCAAAAGTGCCAGTCTTCCTCCAAGTCGTGCGAACTCTGGCCCAGCCTGCTTTGCACACGACATCTCCGATCTTCAGCATTGCCCACAAAGTTTCTCCAGACTACTTTAGTATTCGTTATCACGGACTATGAATGAATCATCTGCGCTGCGTACGAGAGTGTGTGGCTTTAGTATTACTTTGGTTAGCAGAGGCAAGAACAACATAGGAGGGTTAGAGTCCAGTTTTTAACGATAGAGAAGGAACATCAAATGACCGTGAAATTCGAAGGCTAATCTTTGATTCGGCTGGCTTTTCCTTCAACGTTTTGGATGCACTTTAGCACTGTTTAAGATCCTGAGATTTAATCAGGCAGGTGAGATTGCAATAGTAAGAAATCAATGCTCCAGTTGTTAAATAACATTCGCTTCTATTCTTCCATCCCTGATTCGTAGGCCAATATACAAACTTCAAAGAATTCAATGCTCTTAGTTTCTATTGTATATCCCGTGCCATGCATTCGTTTCTTTTCATTTTCATCTCCTGATGGTAAAGCAACGAAGTCCGTAGCAATGACGCTGTCTTTGGTCTTTTTTTTTCAGTGTATATGCTTTTTACGATCCCATCGACACTTTTCCTTTGGACAAAAAAGAAGTGTCCCATACAAAGTCAAATCTATTTCACAAACAGTGTATCTCAAAACTTTCCTTTAAAGATTAACTTGTTTCAGAACTATCAAGTAAAATCATGAAATGTAAACAAGCTATCGGTTTATTAGTTGCCAGCTTTAATGTCTGAGTCCAAATTGTTGTTCAAGTAAATTAATATTATTCTCTTCAGAAAAAAAATGATGGCCATCAATCTGAAAATGGATATTATTTTGTTTCCGCACAATTCACGAATGTTCGGGAACGTTCAAAGAAGGATGTTTTGCATTACATTAGTGGCATTTTATAGGATGAATTTTTCGCAGTTTCAAAGTTTTGAGCGAATGTTTCCTGTTTCACACAAAAATTGCTTTTACTTTACATGTTTTCCCCCTTTTTCTGTCCTCTTTCCGCGAGGTGGCGATGGAGTGATGTAATTGTTGGTC